ACCCAAGAACAATAACATATGTACCCAAGAACAATAACATATGCACCCAAGAACAATAACACATGTACCCAAGAACAATAACATTTGCACCCAAGAACAATAGGATATGCACCCAATCTTTCCCAGCATTCAAATGTTCACCAGAGTTGGGACCACTCATCCATACAGGTTATCCATCAGCCGTAATCTTTACAAGGGCGGATCCAGGGGGGGGGGGAAGGGGGCTGAAGCCCCCCTTCAGCAGATGGAAGAAACTCAATTAGACCCCTCCCTAAAATTTTGGCTGGATCCGCCCTTGCTTTAACCACTACTATTCTTACTTGACAGATGACATGCCTGCAGGCCAGACCCCTCACACCATCATGCTTTATGCTCACAATGATCTGGTTGATGGTGTCCAGCCTGGAGACAGGTAAGGAAAATAAAAAAGAGGACACTACAGAAAAATCAGCTCTTATAAATTACATTTCTGGATTGAAGACTGAAGATTTGTTAGCCACAGGCTGTAAAGTGTTTACCTCATAAAACAAGGATTATTAGAGCTATTATTATAACCACTATTGCTACTCCTACTTCTACTCCTACTGCCACTACAACTGTGACTGCTAATGTGACTGCTGCTTCTACTCCTACTGCTGTTGCTGCTACTGCTGCTGCTACTGCTGCTTCTACTGCCGCTTCTACTAAAGATGCTGCTACTCCTACTGCTGTTGTTGCAGCTACTCCTGCTGCTGCTACTCATACTGCTGCTACTTTCTGCTGTCATACTTCTACTGGTGCAGCTACTGCCAATGCTGCTGCTACTGTTGATGCTACTGCTTCTACTGCTGATGCTATCGTGATTTCTGCTCTTACTGCTACTGCCAATGTAACTGCTGCTTTTACTCCTACTGCTGTTTGCTAATACTATTCCTTCTGCTTCCTACTGCTGCTGCTATTTGCCACTGTGACTACTTCTACTCTTACTATTTCTGCCGCCTCCACTGGAAATTAAGGAAATTAATATTTAGATTTTGTAGAACAACTTCATGCTCTGTTTTGCAGGGTAATTGTTACTGGCATCTATAGAGCCACACCTATGCGGGTTAATCCAAGACAACGAAATGTGAAGGCTGTTTATAAAACCTACGTTGACGTCATTCATTACAAGAAGGCAGATAAAAAGAAACTGTACTCCAATGATCCGGACAGGTGAGAGGGTTTGTGCCCTTAGTTTTAGTTGCTGCTTTGAGAAAAGGAATTGAGTCAACATGCAAATGTTTGTGAAGTTGTATTATATACATCGTTTGACGACTGTACATACATGTGTGTTTAGTAAAAGGGAATTGGAAGAATTTTTCAAATAACATGTGAAGTATGCAGGTAGAAAAAAAACTTAAGCCTATGATATTGAATACTGACACTAACCACCAGTTTAAATAAATAAAAAACTTATTTTAAGGTATTGTTAATGGTAACCATCTATCATGCAAGTTGCCTGGTAACAAAAAATGCAGATTGCACAAGACTATTTTGCATAGAAATGCTGTTGCAACCAAATGTCTTATGCAGAAAATTTTTGCAAATTTTGGAAAGCAGAAGTAAGATACTGAATGTAGTTTTTCATATTCTGAGATGAAAATTGGAAAATCCAAGCTGCAGGAGCATTTTGTTACATGTAAAAAAGCCTGATAATCTCCAACAATTATTATGGGAAGAAGTCGCTCAAGAAATCATCCCTTGTTTTTCCAAAGTCTTATTTTGCCTTGGTTCTTCCTACAATTGTTAAGCAAATTTAATTATGTATTCATTGTGTTTCAGTGCTTTGATTTTCACACAAGAGAGAATTGATCAGCTCAAAGGTCTTTCCAAGCAGCCTGATATCTATGAGAGACTATCAAGGGCTTTAGGTATGTTGGGCTTCATATTATACATATATTTGTTGAGCGAGGAAAAAAGGAAAGGAAGGAGARGAAGGAGTAAAGGACAGGGGAAGGGAGAGGGGGGATTAGTAAGGTATGTTGGGCTTCATATTATACATATATTTTGTTGAGTGAGGAGAAAAGGAAAATAAGGAGAGGAAGGAGTAAACGTCAGGGAAAGGGAGAGAGAGGGGGTAAGTAAGGAAGGAAGGAAGGAGAGAAAGGAATAAAGGACAGGGGAAGGGAAAGAGAGCGGAGGTTAGTGAGGAAGAAAGGAAAGAGGGAGGGAGGGAAGGAGGGAAAGGGGAAAGGGAGTAGGAACAGTGGGAGGAAAGGAGAGAGGAAAGGATCAATGTAAAGAGGGACAGAAGGAGGAAGGGAAAGAATTGTTAAAGAGCTAAAAAGTACTTGTGAATTTTAACTTACTTTTTAGCTCCAAGTATTTATGAAAATGAAGACATCAAAAAAGGAATATTGCTGCAACTGTTTGGTGGGACTACTAAAGATTTTACTTCTACTGGTAGAGGAAAATTTAGGTAATGTTTTAATCATTCTTGGCCTATTAAATAATAAAAATTATGTGAAGTAACCCTCAACTCCCTCCTGAATATTCTATATAGATTTCCATAGTGGAGTGCTCCTTATCTTGAATACCCAGTAACATCTGAATATACAGCGACATTTGGAAATATCCATGATTCATAATCTTCATTAATATTATATTTTACACCCTCGTAATCAATTCTTCCATGATGTTTGCTTCACACCCAATATCACTACATCCACTTTTACAACACACAACATTCAACTTCCATGTCAATTTTTATGGAGGGAGAAAAAAAAGAGAACAGAGAGAAACCTCTCATTGCAAGGGAACAGCAGGGCTTCAAACAAACTCAACTCAAACATTTCAGTCTTTGTTTTTCCTCTCTCCACAAAAATCAACTTCTAAATTCTAATTCGATCTACCGGCTGCCTTATCATTTGGGTCGCAAGGCCTGTTAGGCATTAAGCCGTCCACCCAGGAGTGGTAATCGCATTATATTTTAAAGAGACTAGAATGCACATCCCTAGGCTTGAACTACGCAGTGGTGAGAGACAGTGTTGTAGCTGCGCATGCCTCCCAATCTTATTTTAATTGTTTTTCCTCAGATCTCAAGTGAATATTTTGCTGTGTGGGGATCCAGGAACCAGCAAGTCTCAGCTCCTTCAATATGTACACAACCTTGTTCCCCGTGGTCAGTACACGTCAGGGAAGGGATCATCAGCGGTTGGGTTGACAGCTTATGTGACAAAAGACCCTGAGACAAGACAACTGGTTCTACAAACGTGAGTACTATGTTAGGTTATTATTGCATTTGTTATAATAATATAATGTATGGTTTAGGTGTTGCAAGGGGTTCAATATTGGTGCAATTTTTAATTCTTATTTCCAGAACCCCTTTAAATACTTATAAGTTATAAGTTTCTTATAGGGGATTTGTTAAATTTTTAATTATTATAATAAATGGATTTTCTTACTTATACAGTAAATTAGTGCAATTTACCTCAAAGGAGACTTTATAATATTTTACTTATTGACCTGTGTCCTAATGTGCAACACCATTATAACTTGCATGCAAATTTCAAATGAATGATTGGACTGGACTTGATCAATAGTTAAAAATGGGACTCTCCCTTTATAGAGGGTTTTTCTCCAAGTTCTTCAAATTTCCCCTGTCCACAACAACCAGCATCTTAAATTCCAATTATGTCTGTGAGTTTGTCATTCCCTGATGTTGGGATGTTGCAGCCAGTTCAATGCAACTTTTTATTGAGGTTGAGTTGTTTTATATTCTATAGTGGTGCTTTGGTGCTTAGTGATAATGGTATCTGTTGTATTGATGAGTTTGACAAGATGAGTGATAGCACAAGAGCAATTCTTCATGAAGTTATGGTAAGTCATACCTGGGTATGGATGTTATTTTTGTTGGAGCTGGTGTCATAGTAACATATCATGTGGTATTTGGAAAGATATAACTAGCTAAAAACTAGTGTGATATTTGGATTGTGGGTACAAGTACTGTAGACCTACCACCACTTGGCAAACAACTTACTGGGAATATGCAATACTAAAGACAACTTACTGACAACCTGCCATCGCTTTGACAATCTACTTAACATCCTTATGTTAGCTTAATGACAACCTTCTCCAATAGACCCCTTGCAGTATGTCGGAATGCAACTAAATTTGGGAGACATAACAATAGGTTTCAATTCTCAGGAGATTGAAATTATTTTGTTTTGTCCATGCAAGGGATCTATTTGGGAGTCAAATAGACCTTTTCAGCTTGGACATAATGTTGTCATTTCTTTGTTTAATGGTTGTGCATGATATGGATTCAACTCAAAAAAGCATCATTTCAAGGGAATGACACATGATCTGAAATGCAACAACACTAAACCCAAGCCAAAAAGATCTTTTGTCTACTATCACCATTGCCAGGAATCAATGTTTATGTGACAGTGGTGAAAATGGTGAAGATGATAGAAAAGAAATATAACTACTGAAAATGCCAAGGCAATATACTCAACAGATCATATTATCATAATTATAATAGGAACAACAAACTCTGTCAATTGCCAAGGCAGGCATCATTTGCCAGTTGAATGCCAGGACATCCATACTTGCCGCAGCCAATCCAGTGAAGTCACAGTGGGACCCAAGACTGACAACTGTGGAAAACATCCAGTTGCCGCACACTCTACTATCAAGGTAAACTATGAGTAACAAAAGGGGCATTGAATTTTATAGATCAATTGGAAAGCATGGCYGGCATGTGCTGTTCATGCGTGCCCTAACACCACTGTGGTTGTGGATTTGATCCCCAGAATCGCAATCATATGAGAGCTTAGGAATTTTTGTTGGTTCTCCTTTGTGCTTTGAGGGTTTTCCAGTATTTTTTTCCTTTTCAAAAGAGCAACTTTAAATTTTGAATTTGATCATAGAACCAGGGCCACAGGTTTGTCACCTGCTCATAAAACAAAACAAGAACAATTTATTTTCTTATTTGTTTATAAATTGAATATTATTGTATAATAACTTCAATATGCATGATCTCATCTTATGTGGTTCTCATATCTCATATGATTATCATATTCTCTATATTTGATGATGCTTAGAATGGCAAAAGCTCAGACTGAAAAAGATATAGTCATCTAAGACAGCAGTGTCTGTCCACATTTGTCTTCCTCTTTATTCGTATAATAATTCGTAGAATAGAATAAAAGATTGTTTCTTGCTGTACCTCTTGTAGTGTTGCATGTGACTGCTGTAACTACACAAGGATTACCACATATCATCTTACTAATAGTTTGATTAATGTTTTCAAACAGGTTTGACTTAATCTTCCTGATGCTTGATCCTCAAGATGAGTTTTATGATCGTCGTCTAGCCACTCATCTTGTCTCATTGTACTACCAGACGCAAGAAGAAGAGGAAGAAGAACACTTGGTAATTTAAAGTTTCTCTCTCTTCAGCGTTTAAGAGTATATTATTTTTCTTTATGATATATAACACTATTACTAGGAGAAATATTTGTAACAAGTCAGGAGTACCTTAGACATCTGTACTTAGGCAAGGCAATACTAAGGGACTTAATTTGAGTACTACCTTTGTGCTAAAAATGCTTGCAGAGAGTGACCATGTAGCTAGGGGGCTTTTAATTTTGCCGCCATATTTTGTTAAATGCTTGCTATTCAAAATATCAATAGCCAATACAATAAATATGTTGAAAATACCCCTCAACAAGGGCGGATCCAGGGGGGCAAAGGGGGGCTGAAGCCCCTGTTCATTTTGGCTGCATCTGCCCTTGCTCAAAACCCTAGAAATGGCACTTCCAAGGGTCTCAGATTAAAAAATGTTTTGTGGGTTTCCTCTTTTGTCGTTAGCCCCCCAATCAAAATGATGCTCCGCGGTCCCTGAAGTAGTGCTTTAATGTTATTAAGTGGCATTAGATCTTGAGAGTTTATTGTCGGAAGTAAGTTGGGGTTATGCCTTCAAAGAATGTTATCATTTTTAAAGCTATTTGTCTGAATGGGAATAATGCACTGGTGCAAGAAATGGGATAACAATATATCGTTTTTGTTTTGACAGGATATGAGTATTCTGAAGGACTACATTGGTTATGCAAGAGCATGTATATCTCCCAAACTTAGTGAAGAAGCTTCACAGAAACTTATACAAGTATATGTTGGTAAGTGAATGTTTTGTTCTAGTTTGTGAAGCAGTTATAGAAATAAAATGATGGATTTGAGTGGGTTGCATTATGATAAAAATATCTCTATCTTAGTAGTGCTAAAATAACAACCAATCTTTGGACAATGTTCGGCCAGAATTGAAACTTGTTCAGTCAAATCTTTGCCTTGCCAGTCATCTTGACAAGTAACGTTGAGCTGGAAACGATGCATGATTGAGCCAAAACTAATTTGACCAATAATCATGACCGGCAACTTACCAGTAATTATCTTAAACCCTGCTTAGGGAAGTACGGGTGGTGATGTAGTGTGAGCCTCTTGCTATTTTCACACAGGCACAATTCCAGGAATAAGTGTCTGTGACTAGAGTTGCCAAGTTCTCTGTTTGTTTTTTTGCATGACGACACTATTAGCAGCTGATTAGGAGATTATTGTTTTCCTCCCTCCGAAATAAATCAACTTCTGCATTCCAATTGGAATGCAATGGCAAAGTGCGCCTCTTTGGAGATGCCACTGCTAATCCTATTAATTAGCTATTAATTTAAAGGATATTTTATGTTTGCAGAGATGCGTAAGGTTGGCAGTAACCGCGGTGCTATATCAGCCTACCCAAGACAGCTGGAATCCTTGATCAGGTTATCAGAAGCACACGCAAGGATGAGACTGTCAGATGTGGTTGAAAACGTTGATGTAGAGGAAGCAATAAGGTAGAAGTTGTAACCACATCTCTTATTAAACTCCTACCCTACATAGAAATTGTATAAAAAACGCATGGTGTATTTTTGCGTCGCCCAAAAAAAACGTACTTAATTTAGGCAAATCTTTTAAATTACCTGCTTTGCGTATTGATAAGAGATTAGTGTACCTGGTTATGTATTGATGAGATTGCGTAGCAGAGGAAACACTCACCTCACCAGTGTGAAGCACAAGTAATTCCAAACTTGGTTTCTTGGTTAATTAAAATGGCTAGAGTTAAAAAAATCATTTTCAACTTCAAACAGTTTCCTAATCTCGTCATTAATAATAAAATTCAACTTTTAAATTCCAATCTGATCATGGAATGAGTACCTCAGGTTTAATATATAGCCGCTTTTTCGCACTCAGAAGTTAAAGGTCTTATAATGTTGATCGTTATGTCGTATTTGTTACAGACTCCATCGCGAAGCCTTGAAGCAATCTGCCACAGATCCAAAGACTGGTTTGATTGATGTCAACATCTTGACTACTGGGCTCAGTGGCTCTGATCGTAAGAAGCGCATGGAGCTGGCCAAGTCCCTTAAGGATATGATTCAAACAAAAGGCAAGATAGCCAGTGTGGACTACCAGAAGACCTTCAGTGAACTTAGAGAGGCATCAGATATGGTAAGAATATGTTACAAATCGCACCCACCTTTTTGTTGTCCATTTTTGCTGATGAAGGATGACGCCAAGAAATGTTCAGTGAACAATCAAATGGAAAAAATTAATGCAATAAGTGATTTCATTGCGAACATAAGTATTGTTAGACGTGACCTAACAAAGCGTGTTGCAGGGTCACCGAAATTGGTGCAAGAGGTATATTACTGAGTTATATGTCTCGCAGAAATTTCGGCTACCATTTCAAAACCTTTCATCATCATCATCAGCAGCAGCAGCAGCATCATCATCATTATCATTATCATTACCATCACTTCTCACCTGGCACGTGATTGGCCTTGGGGCGTGCCAGCGTTGGAAAACGATGTTCCAATAGGCACTCTAGATATATATTGTTCTTTGCGTAGTGTAATACCATCCCCTATAGATGGAACTTAAACTTGTGAAGTAGTAAACCAAGAAAATCGTTTTGGCATTTTGGCTTTCGCTTGGGGGGAAAAATTGCCATTGGTGAAATATAAAACAAAACCTGGAATAACGACTGCCCCCCTATCTCCCGCCCCCCTTTTCTAAGTGTCTTAGATCTACCGCTGTTTTTCTTATTTCTACTGATGCATCAATTTGTTTTCAGCCTGTTTCAAGAGAACATTATGATGGAGCACTGAAGATTCTCCAAGATGAAGATTTCCTCATCGTCACTGGAAAATCAATTCGTTTGATGTGATTGCCATAGCAACTGGAAAATCAATCTGTATTATAGCAAATTGCTTTGGACTTTTTGACTCAAATAGTAGAACTGTAGTATTTGTCATTTGTAACATTAAAAGTTCATTAATAGTGACTGATGTAAAGAAAGAAAGAATACTTAAAAGGTGTATCATTCATTAACGTTAACCGAATGAACGAACAGAATTGATACCAATCTCTCATGGTTTCTGTCCTCATATAGTTGTGTGGTTTTGTACGTCGTTATTGTAAAGTTCATATCAAATAAAAGCATTATGATTTTTCCTTGATTACTTTTGTGAGTATATATCTTGCTTACATACCAATCATTAAGCCGGCGCTCTCTTCTTCGTAACTTCTCGCGCAGTTTTGTTGAGCGATAAAATTAAATTTCTTGCAGTTGCGCCAAAAAAAAAAAGGAAGAAAGAAAGAAATTACACCTAGGAAAGTTCGAGATTATAAAACATCTCATACAATCGCAACGAAATCGCAGAACACTAGGTTGTTACAAGCAGCATTGAGCGGTGCGGTAGATGCTTTACTGCTTTACTACGTTTTTTTTTCTTTTTTTTTTCCATTTTTTGTTTGTTTTTTTTTTTTTTTGTTTTTTTTTTTGACATCCGCGCACTTATTATAGTAAGGCTTGGCACTGAGGCTATGAAACTGCTCTCTTTTTACTTGGTGTACATTTAAAAAGATTATAATTTAAAAACGTTAAAAAAAGTCTGCTATAAAAAACTAGAACCATCTGAAAGTTTGAAGTAAAAATCAGAAAATAAGTACGAGAATCTAAAACTTGGATTTTGCTCACGAGATGATTTCCCTTCTCGGGCTAACTCTCTGGCTTTTATAAGTCTGCTTCATTCGTAAAATGTTCAACCTCTATTTTTCTAAGCATGGATCAAAAAATAATATAAATTGATGGGGAATTTGAAATGCCACGCCCCAAGTACCTCTACCCTCCCCTCCCCTCCTCGTTTCAGCTTCAGTAATCGCGAAGGCCTGGGACCTAGTCAATAAGGCATCAAAATGGCGGAGCTTGAGCAGATTCTACAAAAACTTCTTGTACCGGACAATGCAGTGATCAAACAGGTAAAAAACCTGCGATTCTCTTACCGATAGATCCCAACCCTTGTGAACATCATAGAGAAAACTTTTGACATTTTTTCCTCAAAGGCAACATCAGAATTGCGAGAGGCTTTCAAGAATCCTGCAGTCGTCCCATCGTTGATTACAGTGTTGACCAGCTCACAGAATCCCCAGGTAAACTTGAAAATAATACTATTCACGGTAATTTTGATGTGGAATCCTTGGTGTTAATGTAAATACCGGTTATCAGCTGCAAGGATATTTCGCAGGTGTCTAGCGGTAGTAAAAGTTCGGGGTACCGACACCTCTTGGTATTGACATTAGATTAGTCTAACTTTATTATTTGTTCGCGTGTTGTGAAGCCAAAACATCTAAATGAAGGCGTAGTAACATTAGGTCTTGCACGATTATCAGTAAATCTTTGGTATCAAATTGGAGGTCTTTTTACTAGCAACTCTTCCATCAGTTATTAAAATCAAAATAGAATTTCATACATAACTACTGGATTTCAATATATCGTTCAATCAGTAAGCTTATAGTAAAAAAAAATCAAGGTTCCTGTGATGAAAAAATATATTTATTCTACTACCTGTGTATATGATAATTTGGCTGCAGTAATTATTAGGGGTTTATAATATTTAGTTTAACCTTGAAATTTGACATGGAGGGGTAAGGGTTTAGGAAGGGGGGACAAAGGAGAGTGTCATAAAAAGGTATACCTCTAAATCAATTTACTCCAACCCCACCCCACTCTCCCTCAGTGTAAAAAATGATGTCATCAAATACTTTTTCAACAGGAATACACATATTTGCTATTGCTCAGTACATGGTTCGACTCACTTCAGAGTAAAAAACGACATTACATCATCAATTACCCATCAAGGCAATGGGAAAATCTTATAATCCCACCAACATGGCTTAGTATTGTATGAGAAAGGCCTGAAATATGAAGTAGGGCTATAAGATTACAGCTTTTTTTACTAGATACATTCAGTTAGTACTAATTTTTGTTTTTTCATTCAAGGTGCGGCAGTATGCTGCTGTTCTCCTCAGGCGACGTGTAGTCAAACAATGGACTAAATTATCCCCAGAAATACACCAAATACTCAAACAGTCATTATTACAAGTTCTGATCCAAGAGCCAATCCAACTCGTTCGGCATTCAACAGGTCAAATTGTGAGTGTTATTGCAAAGTTTGAATTGCCTGCTGGACAATGGCCAGAACTGTTACAATTCTTGAACGAGTACATCAGAAGCAAAGAACCTGCCCAAAGAGAAGTAAGTGCAGATTTTCTCATAATTTTATATTTAGTTAATGCTTTCAAAAAAAATCTTATACATCCTGATTTATTACACATACTATTTTATGTAATGTCTCAGCACTTGTTTAATGTGAAAGAAAATGCGCAACACTTTACAATACTCTTGTTGTTTGGCTGTTGTTCATTGAATCTATGATACTGCCGACAATAAAGAAACCCTTCTCATTCACATTGTACAATCATGTATTGGCTACTCACTTTATGCATAGTATTAGCAGAAGATAGCAAGTGCACATTTTTTATGTGTGCACTATTGCTTAGCTTCAAGGCTACATGATCCTCAAACTCATGAAAAACAACTTGCTGAAGCCTTACATCAGCTATCCATCTACACTGTAGTGCAGTATAATAAATTTGCAACTTATTATGAAAGATACATGCTGGTTAGGTTTTAAAAGTATTTTGAGAGCTATAATAAACGTTCTAGAGCTGGCTTATTCATTTCTTAGCCTGGCTTGCAACTTGGCAAAACATAATGAAAAAAAACAATGTAACATGAATAAGGAATAAGTTGTTATAAATATTTATTTAATTCATTGTCTGCCTGTAAGCGTGCATGTGGCTGACATGCTTTTATATATACCCTAAAAATCTTGATATAAAATTAAAATAATGATATTTTGTGTAACTTTTTAATCTTTAGATGGGAATGTTTGTTCTGAGCTCAGTTACAGAGACTGTTGGAGAGCAGGTTGGTTGATTATGAACAATGATTAGAAAAATTAATCTAGGTCCCTTTCAAAAAATGTTTCACTCTGACTCACTCCTGCTTGACATCAAGCTCCATCTTTAAGATTAGTTGCAGTAACTTTTACAGAAAAAGTTATGGAAAACAAAGAAATAATGTTCAGGGGAATGACACCTGGTTTGTCACAGGAGAAAATTACACCCAAACTAAATGATTGATATGTCTTTACTATTTGTAATAATAGCTATTTTTAATTCTAAATACCTCTGATTCCTTGACAGTTGAAGCCCCAATTTCCTGTTCTTTTGACACTCTTTTCATCAACATTAGAAGACCAAGGCAGTAAGATGGTACCATTCTACACAATAAGGTACAACTCTTACATGTGCTTCTGTCTGTGGATCATTGTAAACCATTATGTACATATAGTACAACTCACTGTAGATCTTATTGATAACTTTTAACACTGAAAATTGATGCCAAAGTATTAATTAAATTGTTGATTAATTCACAAAGTTTTTCCAGAATTATCTTTCCCCAAATTTGATGAAGAGTTTTTTAAAAATTCAGTTATGCTGGGAAAAAGAAAGAAAAAGGAACCAAAAATTTCATTGATAAATAATTAGCATATTAGTCACTTCACTTCAAACCTGCTCAGGTCAAATGGTATATCTAGTGCACTTCTAATAGTTTAGGGTCCCCTATGTACTTTTTCTGACCTGCGGTTGCTCTCCTAGCTAGGGTCTATTTTCTTATTTTCCTACCCTTCCCTGCCTTCACACTGTTGTGGTTCTATGCAAAGCTAGGTCTACTCCCATAGCTAAAATATGAGTACAGTTAGACCAATGAAAATAGAATACTATGTCCTAAGAGCAAGGACAGCATCTACTATTTACTACATATATTTTAAGTGTTGGTCAGGCCAGGGCTTGAGCCCATGACCTGTGATCATATAATTAAATACAAACAACTTATTCAGCTATTCACACAGGCTGAAAAAAAATACTATTTCCTTGGCTTTAGTGGGAACAGTATCAGAGAATAGTAAGAATAATACTGTGTGTTGTTGTCAATTCATGCAGGGCTCTGATGTCAATGATAGAAAGCATTGGAACAGATGAAGTGGTGAGACTGTCATTCCATTAACTAAAATATTAAAAATTATTCATTTTGTTTTTCTATTTTTACATTTTAACTCCCAGCTACACACTGAGCAATTCACTGTTCTCCCCTTCCACCTAATGTTGCAACTTGTGAGATCAGTTTAGACTTCTTTGCATTGCTCTTCCCAAGTTTTTACTGCAGGGACACCAGTTTCTAACTCATTCCAGATGATAGTTTCAAGAGTGTTGTGTGCATAGAATATTTTACTTTTATGCTCATCTCTGCAACAACTTCAATACTCCTAGGCTGAACCACCCCAAAATCTTACATGGTTTTATTACTTTCCTCAAATCAGTCCTACATCAGACCTCTAATACCAAAGGTTATGACTGTTGTTGAGGCTCTCCTTGAAGTAGATGAGGTGAGTTCCATCTTTATTAAATTGTAGTAACTCTAAAAGCAACTGTACTGGTAACAAAAATAGGAATATCAAAAAATTCATCAATTTTTCCAATGTAGAATTTTATCTTTTGCTGGTTTTCAAATGTGGTTTGAATGCTGGTTTGGATGTCTTAAACCCAGTACACTTGGTTTAATACATCACCTATGTCATGTGGCATCTGCTGCAATAATGGAGAAAAAGAAAATGCGCGCACATGCTGTGTGCAGTCATAAAGCACACGGGGGTTAGCAGAACACGAGAGAAGTGTTAGGAGAAGCACTAACACAGAGTAGCGGAGTGCTTCTGGACACTTCTGGAGCTTTATAACAGCATACAGCACAGGAAGCAAGTTTTTTTCTTTCTTTTATGAAATACAAAATACGATAACCGTTATCTTAGATAGGAACAACACAACGGAAAGTGCGCACGCGTGCAATGTGCTCTCATAAAGCACATGCTCCAAGCCAATCAGAACATGACATTCATAACAGTTATTTTATAGTATAACCAATAATATAATTTTATGCATTATTTCTCAAAGGATAAAGCCTGCGAAGCCATGGAAATCTTTGATGAGTTGGTTGAGTCTGAAGTCAGTATTGTTACTCCACATTTGGTGCCATTGATGGAGTTCTGTTTGAAGGTATGGCAATCAATAGTAAACCATTTTGGCCCTAGCCAGTAGATCAAAAAAGAGTCTGCCAGTAGCGTTTTAGCTCCCAAGATTTTTTTGGCCAAACTCAACCTAAAATTGAAATTTTCACTGACTGTGGGGTGGGGAGAAATTTCAATTTTGGCAATTCCTAATATCTGGCCTGTTTTTCACTGCAATCAATAGCCTGTGTGGCGCCTCTAGGGGATTGGGGATGAGGAAAAAGGGAAGGGGGAGGGGGGGAGATGGAGAAGGGAGTAAGGAGAATAAGCGTATAGGCGTATAGGCGAGATGGAGAAGGGAGTAAGGAGAGTCATACAATAGTTTGAGGACTTATTTTAACATGTCAGTTTGACTTAACATCTGCTAGTTGTTCCTCAGTCAACTGCTTGTTTGTCCCTCCCCCCAGTCAACTCCAAAAAGTCACATGATTGATAGTAAGCAATTCAGTATTCCATCTCATTATTCAATCATGTTATTGCTTTTATTTTTTCAGCTTGCAATGAATACCAAGTACACTTACAATTCTCGTATTAAGGCTTTATCATTCATTAGTTGGCTTGCTCGCATCAAACCTAAGGTAGGTACTAGTTGTCTTGGCCAATCATAGTTAATTAAATATATATCTATGTCCCAAACAACTACTCGTGCTACGTATGTTTCAGGGTTTTTGTGAGGGGGAGGTGAGGTGGGGCAACCCCCAAAAATGTTTGAGTAGAAATCGTAAATTTTCCTTTTTTATCGTATTTTGTTGGGCTACCTGAGGATTTGGCAGGAATTTTTGCGCCAAAATGCTTGCGCTTGCCCGTTGTGCTCTGGTATTCTTGCTGTACCACCAATACGTTTTAGGTTTTTGAACTTCTTCCATCAAAACAACAGTTGTCTAACGAACCCAAAAGAACATTATTATCCAACAACCCAGCATCATCCGAGTAACCATCTTTTATCAGCACCACAACCATCAACCTAACAACAATCAACAATAGCAACCCGTCCAACTCATCCAACTCATCCAACAGCTTACGACAAACTAACAATCCACTGAACACAGCTTGACAGTATTATACATTGTATACAACTCAAACCAAAGGCCAACTTATTTTCTTTAAAATAATAACGACCAGTTCAGATATCGATCTTTTGCCACATCGAATCTAATTGCCATTAAGGTCGACTGACTTGAAGTATCGTCTCATTAAATTTGACATCTGATTCAAACGTCGCATTTGATTCTGCCACTTTCGATAAACTTAACGTGTGCACGCGTTAACAAAAGCCAGCTAAAGCACTAGCAGGGTTTTTATCCATAGCCGCTGTGTTGAGATTGATGCATTGCATTTAACACGTTCAAAATCAACGCCTTTGGTCTTTTCGTGCACTGGTTCAGTTGAATTTAATTTTCTATCGAAATCGATTGGTTCAGACTTCTCATGTGAAAATGCAATTATAAAAAAAATGTTATAGATCTCACTTTCTGATTGGTTGAGAGCGCGTGCTTTATGAGAGCACAGCACGGGCGCGCACTTTCAGCTGCGTCATTTCTATCCAAAATAATGGTTATCGTAATTTCTATTCTTTATAACCCTTCTCTCGTGTTCTATCAACCCCCGCGTGCTTTATATCTGCACACAGCACGAGCGCGTGTTTTCTATTTCTTGGCTATTAGATTCCACACGGTATACGTTCGACGTCTAAACTGGACCTAAGACAATGAAAAGTCAGGTATTATGCACGCTCAGAATTCCTTTACCTTTTAATTGCAGTCGTTGATTAAGAACAAACTTATCATGCCCACACTAGCTGTTGTTTTTCCAATCATGGCTGCTGCTCCCAGTGAAGAAGAATTAGAAGAAATGGATGAGGAGTTGGAGGATGGGGCAGAAGCCAGTAGACCTTGTGCTGTAGCCTCACAGGTGTGTTCTTGTCGACAACTTGCTTACACAGTGCTCCTGCCACTCCTTTAAATTCAAAAATGTAACTCAGCAAAAAATTGGTAATGGAGAAGACCTTGTCAGAAAAAGGCGAACCTGGCAAGGTCGTTATTGCTGGTGGCAAAGTTTGTGTTGCAGGTTTTACAAAGCAACTTTATCTTCAACAGGACTTTAAGTTAAGGAGCCCACACATTATAGAATTCTGACCTGCAGAACACTGAGAAGTCGTATTTCATTTACTGAGCATTATGCTATCATCATTTAACATTTTTACATTGAAATATCTTGCACGCAATGACCCTTTCTACGTCTGCAACTTTTCGAGAGATGTTACTAAGAACAGTTTTAATAGAACGGCTACAATAAGTATCCACGTCACTTATGTACACCTTTCAGTTGACCACAAACGATATTTATTTTTTTGTTAGGTTCTAGACAACCTTGCTTTACACCTTCCGCCAGAGACACTTATTCCTCCACTGGTAAGTACTTGCACTGACTTGTACTCTTAGATATGAACTATATTTGTATAGAAATTTACTAATCTTATATTAATGAGATTCAATGGAACAATTATCTTCAGATGGAATTTATCCAGCCTGCGGTTGGAAGTGCAAACCCTTACGAGAGAAAAGCAGCTCTTATAGCATTGGCAGTTCTGGCTGAAGGTTGTGCAGATTACTTGAAAAACAGGTACTGGTGTAACATCACAGACACTATGAACATTGCCACCAACATATAGGCTATCAACAGCACCAACGACAACAACATCATAAACATTAGCAGCATGATCATCAGCACCGCCACCAGCATCATCATGAGCACCATCATCACTACCAGCATCATCTTCACAACTACCACCACTACCACCACCATCATCATGAGCATCATCACCACCACCGATATCATCAGCAGCAGCACCACCAGCATCATTATGAGCACCATCACCACCAGCAT